AAATTCAGTGCCTGTTTTTACATCTTGTGACTTTACATTCTGTCTTAGTCCACTTGAGACTGCTCATGTTCTGCCCTGGGCTGTGGGAATACCTTTTCTACCTCCTCCAAGTTCTCCTAGGGTTAGCTGTGCACTTTTTGGTCTCCCATCTACCCTGAGGGATCTCTGGAGACTACAGCTTTCTCAACTTAGTGTCCCCAGGCCCTGTAGGAAGGTGTTGGGGCTGATGTGGGGCAAGTGGAGTCTTGGTACATGTTAGATACAGTGTTTATATATGCTGGTGTTAGTTTATAGTTGAAAGAGAAAAGTTAACAATAGAATCAGGTCTATTGAAATAAACTGATTTAAAGTTCATTATTTTTAATTATGTGTTTTGCATAAATATCATATTAGAAAGTCCTCAAAATAGCCCATCCCTGTGGTGGCTCCCAGGAACCAGTCAGTCCTTCTTGGCTATGAGGAGGCTGAGGTTGTGTACATTTCCCCCAAACACTCCTGTCAGTCTAGGGGTGGCCTGCACATCACCCACCTCCTGTCACAGTCACTGCTTCAGGCTCAGGAAAGAAATATCTAAGGCCAGATCTCCAAGGCCCTGAAGGGATAGCACTGCCCAGAAACCCTGCTCACTACTATGGCCATCGCAGTATTTTTTTTTAGGCCTCACCTTCCATTTGTTGATAGTCTCATTCTACTTGCCTACTTTCTTTTTACCTGTGCATTTATAACTTTTCCCCTTGAATCATATTTCTTTCTTTGAACGCTGGTATTACTTGGAATCACTCAGTGTCTATGTTTTATTTTCTCACTTGTAACCTTAGCTGAAAAATCTTTCAATTGATGTCACTGCTGTCATTTCTGCCTTCCTTTGGTGTGACACATGTTTAGGTAGTGAAAGCCAACCTTGTTGTTGTAGGCTACATGGCTGTGAACATTCTACCCTGGATGACTCAGGTGCCTGGGGCTTTGTTCACATTCTGCCTTCCTCCCTGCTTGGTCTCCCTCCCTCTTTGCCCCATGCTTGGTGGAAAATGTGTACCTTTGGGAGTTGAATGGTTTTGAGTTGAAATCTGTCACAGTCCTTGGCCATCTTGGAGTCCCGGTTCAGAGGACCATTCCCACCCCATATGTGGACTGTCTCCAGTCCTTCTGGCAGATGGTTTAGTAGATCAGCATCTAGCAGATGGACCCTATGCTAAACTTGCTGATCTTGACTGTGGTTCTGTCCAGACCATGCCTCTAGGGACCCTTTGTGCTCTGGCTTTTGTGGGGCCATGTACCCAATGTCTCTGGGTGGTCTTGGAACCCCCATTGCTACCCCTCAGGAGCCAGACATGACAGCCTGGAGTATTTTCTGCAGCTCCTGACTCTGCTGTCACATCCTGGGGATCCAGAGTGTCCTGTTGGCTCCAACAACATGAGGGTGCTTTCTCAGGTTGGGAAATATTTATCTCATTCTAACAATAAGGGTAATTTCAATTTGTTTGGCATTTAGAAGATAAATTGACATAGGGGTTTTCTGAGTTAAATGCCATTGCTTCATTATGTTGAAGAGTAACAAATAACCCATTGTGAGAAATGACACCTAGAATAGGCCACTGGCATTTCCTTGGATAAAATGCTCCAGCTAAACAGACTAAGAAAGAGTGAGGCTTCTGCTTCTCTTGTGCAGGGCTTGTGTTTTGCAGATCTGGGCTGTGATAGCCCACTTGCATCTGTGAACTTGAAGAGAGGCTGCTGAGGTTTGGAGGGGGACTTTATATCCCTGTTTACCTTTTATTATATCTGAGGAATTATCTCCATGCTTGGAAGGCCCTTGAAAGAGAGACTATGTCATTGGAAAACTTCTCGAAAGATGTCCTCTGATGATTGTTGCTGATTCAATTCCCTGAGATTGGAAAATAAAATCAGATTCGCTCTAGGTCTGCAGAATGTTGACTTGCTTCTGCTGAAGTTGTTTTCACTGTGAGGGAGCTGTACTGCAAGGAGACCACTTATACTCAATCCTGTGTGGTTGACCTTTGCAGTTCATTCCAGTAGGAAAGGCATTATGATGTGGCTGGACTTGGTGTTCCAGCTGGCCTGTCCTATTTGTTCTCCTCACTGTCTTACAGAGCACATAATGAGCACTTGGGTGCTTAGTTTCTGCATCTGTAAACTGGCAATGATAACACCTCCCACCTCTGGCTACTACAAGAGATTTGGGAGATAGAGCCTTTCCCTTGGAGTCCCTCTGGGGGTCTCATCAGCGGAGATGCTTAGATTAAGCAGTGAGCTCCTGGGCCAGCAGGCTTCTGAAACCAGGTACCTTGCCCCATGAGCTGGAAGGAGAGAGCCTGCAGTCCCACAGGACCTTGGTGGGGAGCTGCCAGGAGAGTGCTAATGTCAAGGGTGCACTCAGGCTAAGAAGAGGATCAGGGAAAAGAGCCTGTTGGGCACCCTTGTCATTCCAATCCTGCATCTGAAGGAAGGGGCCTGGGATGGTGAAAACACTGGGCTGAGGGAGTGAGGGTCTAGGTGCATCTAGGATGATGTGAGCTATGGTATCCTTTACAAGCCTGGGTCTCTAACTGACTCACTTTCACCGTGTGCCTCTCTACCTTCATGCCACTTGGATGACCAGCACCTAAACATTTGTTTTCAATTTGTAAAGTTGTCTATTTTCCCCTTTAATGCATCAACTTCTTGAGGGCATTGACTTTCTCACTCATCTCTGTTCCCCGTGCCTGGGATGTAGGGACAGAGATCTCCCACAGGACACCTGCAGTCTGCTGCTTACATACCCTCACAGTGGAGACAACCCAGGGTGGCTCACCATCTGAGGAATGCAGGAACACAGTGTGACCCATTCATACAATGGAATGCTGTTCCACCATAAAAGGAGTTTCTGATATGTGCTGTCACGTGTACATGGATGAACACTGAAAAAATTATGCTGAATGAAAGGACCCAGTCACAGAAGGCCATAGTGTATGATTCCTTCAATATGAAATGTTAGAACAAGCAAATCCATGAAGACAGAGGGCAGGTTCATGGTTGCTGGGGAAGGGAATGTCTGCTAAAGGGTCCAGAGTTTCTTTTCAGGGTGTTGAAAATGTTCTGTGACTAGTGGTGATAGTTGTGCAACCCTGCGAATTTACTAACTATTGAATTGGGCACTTGAAAGGGTGTATTTTATGGCATGCAAATTATTTCTTAATTAAAAAACCCCAGAACCAATCCAAACCAAAGCAATACCCATTGAGCAAGTGAGAGAGTGCATGAGTACATGGAGAACAGAGTGCTATTTTTTTTTTTGAGTCGGAGTCTTCACTCTGTTGTCCAGGCTAGAGTGCAGTGGCACACTCATGGCCACTGCAGCCTTGACCTGCTGGGCTCAGGTGATCCTTCCTCCTCAGCCTTACAAGTAGCTGGAACTTCAGGTGCATGCCATCATGCCCGGCTAACCAGTTGCTCAGGGTTGTCTCAAACCCCTAGACTCAGGCAATCCTTTAGCCTTGACCTCCCTAGAGAGCTGTTTTTGTTAGCATGTCCTCCCAAACCATCCCCACCATCCCTAAGAGATGTGTGACTGGTGAACTGGTTTGAATCTGTGCTCACTGACTTGCATTCCCGCAGGCCCTGCTGTGTTGGATGCATGTCCAAGGCTGTTGTCTTCCTGCCTTGGCCCATGAGGCCACTTCGAGTGACCAGCTGGTCGGCTCCTGCCTGAGTATTGGAAATGCTCTTCCCCTTAGACCTTTTCGGTTTGTGTGGTGAACCAAGTGCAGTGGGAGATGGTCTGTTCATCTCCACTCTTCCTGGTTGTATGCCTGAGCGTGAGTCAGGAATTGTGTAGGGTTGTGACCAAGGAACCGATGGCAAAGGGATTGGATCATTATGGAGCATGAATGTGAGGTGTGCCTCTGAGTCCTTCCTGTGTGAGGAGCAGTTAAGGAGCTGGGTCTGGGTCAGGTGGTGGGGCTGCACCCTGATTACCCCCTCACTTTCCAGGCCGCTCAGCATGGCGTGGCTATTGTTCGCTGCACCCTACTGTCCTTAGGAGTACTGGAGTGATAACAATTGAGTAAAGGAGCAAATACATTTAAAATGTGAAGAGTGCTTGACTTATAATAAGTAATCAATAAATGTTAGCAATTAGTATTTTTGTTGTCGTTATTGTGATTTTTATCTGCTTAAACCTTCTAAATATATTCTAGGCTAGAATTTTTTTCTTAAAGAACATTTTCCTTGCAAAGATTCCATGTACGTTTGCAAATAAAACAAAAGTAAAAAATTAAAAAATAGGGTACATAGTTTTTTAAACATTTATGAGTGTTATGCTGGATGATAGCAATTTTTATAAGGATCTAAAATTAGTTTGTTCAAGCATCTGATAAGCCATTTCAATTAGGCATCTGTTTTGCATGTTAAAACTTTTAGGTTATGTTTTCTCATTAGGTTTTTTTTTTACACTTTAAGAAAGAAATTATTTAGAACCCCATTGTCTATTATTTCTTTGAAGCACATCTGTCTTACTGCTTTCTGGGGTATTTGATCAAAGTATGGAAGTGTATACCCAGTGTAGTTTTGGGAACTCCAACCTTGGAAGCAGGGTTTTAGAGATTTTATTGTGAAATGAATATGTAAATATGTTAGAAGCAGAGTTTAAAAAATCTGAAGAAACTGTCAGACCTCTGTTAGGAATAAGTAGTATATTCTAGGTTGTCCCTTATTAGGATGTGAAATGCCTGAGAAGCAATAATTTGCAATATATTAATTATGTTAATTAATTGGAGAGGATTCAGAATATTAATAATCTGCAACTAATTAGGTATTAAAATTGAGAACCATTAAGTGATGAGGTGGAAGACTACATGAGTCATTTAGTTAGACTCATGAAAAATGTGAATGAGGGGTGCTTGGCGCAGCGTGCAGATCTCTTCATCAGCGGGCCTCTTCGCTGTGCTGTTTATCTCATGTGGTTAAGTCTCCTTGTCTTTTCCATGCTCGGCACCACACAGAAGCAGAGGAGGTGGACACCGTGGACGTCTCCAGCGTGCCTGCGGAGGTGCTGCACAACATTGAGGCTGACACCTACTGGTGCATGAGCAAGCTGCTGGATGGCATTCAGGTGAGCCCCCCTCCCGGCTTCCTTCAGTCCATGACGTGGAAAGAATATGGGGCTTCACACCTCAGGCTGCTCTGAGTCTTAGCATGGCCCTTTACTCACCTTTGAAGCCTCAGTCTCTATATATGGAATAGTAGGATGAGGGGTGAGAAATGGTGTGTATGCTTCTCATTCTGGGGACAGTCATGGTGTCCTGCTGATGGTCAAGTGGAAGGCAAGGTGCAGAGTCTGATCCCCATGGATTTTGGTCTCCCGACCCTGCTATCTGCAGACTCCAGCCACCAGCACCACATGTAGGCAGTGGTTGACAGTTGTTGCTTGTAGCCAGTCATTCAGAAGGATGTTTCCCTGAAAAGGCATCAAATCTGGGGCTACAGCTCCTGGTTTAGAACACCCTCTGTGAGCCTTCTCTCTGCCAGCTACGGTAGCCAGGGCTTCTAGTATTCAGTATGTCACAGCTGTGCCTGGCCTTAGGGAGTAACATGAGCTGGTGGTAGTCTTGTGGACCATGATGGGGGCTGTGCAAAAGCCACAGGTCTCCTAGTGACAAGGATCAGTGTGGGGAAAAAATCCCATACAGTGCCAGGGAAGGGCCCTCTTGGCTGATGAGTCAGAAATGAGGACTGAAGCTCACCGATGTTGTAGAAAAATGACTGAGGTGGATGGATGGGCCCTCAAGTGTGGTGTGGAGCATTTTAGGTTTATTGTATGCCAACACACCCTTCCTAGATAACTGCTTTGTGTGAAGTATTGTGCTCCGCACCTAAGAAATAGTGATAAGTAAGGCGTGAGGCCTGCCTCAGGAGCTCACTGAGGATGGAGACTAGACCTTAGGTACAGCATGAGGGGACAGAAGGCACATGCCCTCGAGGACCCAAAGGTGGGATAAACTATATTTCAGAGGAGGAGGGTGAATATTCTCACAGAGCAGGACTTGTAAATAGAGGAGGAAAAAACCTAGAGCAGTGTTCCAGTTGATAAAAGTTTTCTGAGGTCCCAGACTTCTAATATCATCCTGGGTGGTCTCATGCAATTGACCCACTGCAAAGTGAACTGGAGGGCCTGCCAGGAGGGTCAGTGTGTTCTGCCAACCTCCCTGTATTCCAGCATAAAGGTGTGTAGAACCCTGCCTCTAAGAAGGCAAATTGTGATTGTATGTCACTGGTCATCTGCATTTCCTATCAGGGCTTGGCTTTTCCTGAGTCTTGTCATAACATTGGTTCCTGATACCACCAGGTGAAGAGAACTCAACTGAGTTACTTGATTTGAAATGGTCAAAATAAGGCTTTTATAAAATGTAAGCTTAATTTGAATATATTAGCTAAAATGGTTATATTGAGAAAAACTTTGTAGGTTCACATGACTTTTAATAACTTAGGAATTGATGAAGTAGAAGCTCTTTGCATAACTGAAGAATGGAAACCTCATATCTATGGCTGATCCAGACTCCTTGTGACTTATTTTGTTTCTTGTAAAGAAAAATATACCTGTTAGAGATATATTTTGGCCCAAGCATCAATTCATCATTTTCCCTACTTTGCTAATATTTTCATGTTTTATTCTTTCTCCCAGACCTTAAGGCTTTTACCCCCTTAGAAAAGGGATTGAATCATAATGTAAAACTTTATAAATTTCAAATGTCACTTCTGATCGTGAGTGATGGAGCTTGTGCCATTTTAATATAAGATTATCTGGCATCTATTTGTAAATAAAATTCACTGTACAATGAAATCGATGCTGGCTTTTCATTTTTCACCTGAGATTTGTGGTCTGATGAAATGGTTTATTGACAGGGCCGACAAGTGTAAGGGATAATGCTTTTCTGGTGCATGTGTTTACAGTGTGTCTCAGTCCAATGGCAGTAATCCATCTTTCTCTCACATGGTTGTGACTGGTTCCACGTGATCCTCACTGGAAGTAAGAGTTGAGGGATGTCAATTCCCACCATGCAGCAGACTTGGGAGCTTGCCTGTGATTTCTGTAGCTGTGGACAACCCAGCTGAGCTCCTCATGGGGATTGTTGTAGTATATACAAGCCCTACTGCCATTTTACATTTAGAGAAATGTGAGGGTATGAAGAGGTTTAAAACCAAAGCAACAAATGGACCAGTGTCAGCTTCAGATGGCATGGATGCTTCTGCCTCTTGGCTCATTTCCCTATTCCTGATCTCATCTACTTCCACTTCATTCTGCTTGGAACTGCTAGAACCATCTTCTTTAAGCATGCTTTTAATCACATCATTACCCTGATTGAAAACCTTTGAGAAAACTCTTTCTTGGTTTTGTTAAGAGCAGCTCTGAGTCTGGCTTTCTCCAGTTGTTCCCAGCATTTTACCAAGGTCAGGGGTATTATCAAGTTGTGCTGTCTATGCCATTGCCATAGACACTTCAGGGGAGCTGCTGAACCAGAACTGTGTGCTAAGCCTTCCTCAAGAGGAATGAGGACTCCTAAAGGACCTCTTGGGCTCACAGTTTCTGTGATTGGAAGGTAGTCACAGAGAGGATGAAGAGGACCTACCAGCATCCTGCATGATGGTGCTTCCTGATGTTGGTGTTCTCTCACTAACAGGTCAGAGATTACATCTCCCCACACAAGGCTGATACGGATTGAGATGAAACCACTTGCCCGAGAAGACATAGCTTTTGTTAGAACCCACATTGGTTGCTTTATGACCTTTCCCAGCTGAAATATGTAGAAGTGAGCTCCCTTTTGCGGGAGAAGTTCTAGAGGGCAGAAACAATTGGATATCCTGGGTAGTAGTTGCTGTGTTTTGTTCATCTTTGAATCTCAGTTTGAGTAATCTACCAGGTTTCAGTAATTAATTGATAAGCTTTGTGGTTTTGGGCAGAGTGTGGGAAGTACCTCCTCTCTACAGATGCTGGGTACTATCAGAAGACTTTGGTATGTGTGAGTCAGCATCACCCTGCCATCCCCAAGGGGCCCAGAACCTAGAGGGGTGAGGCGGGGAGAGAGGGCAGCTGATGGAGATGAGGACAGAGCACTGGGGAGGAGGCTTTTGGCCTTAGTAAGATGGCTAACTAGGACAAAGAACAAGCCACTCCTCTCTCAGCAAATGCCTGGAAACACTGTATGATATTGAACAAAAATTGTTTAATATATATCGTGGAACTACTTAACAACAAGGAGAAGTCCTCCTGAAGAGAAGAGTGCTAACTTCACTGGCTGATACTAGTACATCTGAGGGGCATTTTCAGACCAAGTAATGCCTAAGAGTTTAGGCTGCATTGCCTTGGCAAGGGTATGACAGGATGAAAGCTTATCCTACACAGGGAAGCCCTGGCGCTGTCCAGAAGCAAATATAGTGGTTCAGCAGTGGACATGTGCAAGCCTCTGTGTCTTAGTATGTTTTACATTCCTAAAGATTTCTGAAGAACCCAAAGATCTTTTATTTGTGTGGATTAATTCTCTTGATATTTACCATGCCAGAAATTCAAATGGAGAAAATTTAAAAATATTTAGTATTTTATTTAAAAATAACAGTGACAAAGCCATTATATGTAATTATAAGAGACAACAAAAAAATTGTTTTGTGAGAAGACAAAACAGGCATTGACATTTTTGTGTATCTCCTTAATGTCTAACTTAATAGAAGTCAGAAGAATGCTCATATAGGCTTCTACATTCAATTTGTTGTGATTTTTTTTTTCCTTATTTTTTGGCTGAAAAGAATCCAGCCCCACCCAGATATGTAGTTGGAAAAGAGAATGTTTTAAAAGCCTTTTCAGATAATGGTGGATTTTTTTTTTTTTTCTCTGTCTGTCGCCCAGACTGGAGTGCAGTGGCTGCTCCCGGCCACCGCAGCCTCGACCTGCTGGGCTCTGGCGATCCTTCTGCCTCAGCCTTCCAAGTAGCTGGAACTACAGGCGCGCACTACCATACCTGGCTAATTTTTTTGATTTATTGTAGAGATGCGGTCTCGCCAAGTTTCCCAGGTGGGTCTCGAACCCGTGGGCTCAGGCAATCCACTCACCTCAGCCTCCCAAAGCGTGGGATTACAGGCTGTGGTGGATTTAAAAAAAAAAAATATTATACCTTTATCCAACAAATGGTAGTTTCTTAAAGGTTACTTGCAATGTAAAATCTGCATTCACGTAAATGAATATTTTATACTCAATTACATTAAAATCGATTGGCCTGTCTTGCACTTTGAATGGATCTTTTACTCATACATTGGCTCTGTAATGTCATTCATTGGTGATCTGGAAAACACTGGATGACTGAAGTATGTAGATCTTCTCAATGTTGACGTGTTTCATTGTATAATATCAAAAAAGCACATTTGTTACAATTACCAACATCTCATAAGAATAAGCTGTCAGGCTCAGAGTGGTGGATAAAAGTCTTCCAAAATTCTGATTTTGATTTAAAAACCCAGACATTATCATTGGCAACAAATACTGTCCATTGTTTTCCTTGAAGTGACAGGTTAGCTTTATTAATTTTTAAGGAAATGTCTGCCAGAGACCCAAGTTTGAATGATCAGTTTATCCATTAGTCATCCTTTCAAGTAAAAATGATGTCTCTTGAAGAAAATGTCCCATCCAACTCACAACTGAATCAATACCACTGAGTGCTTTCCTTGAATAGGTCTCTGTTTCTTGATATGCACCTCAAGGGCTTTACATATTCTACCCTTCTGTTACATAGACTGTTGAAAAGATGTTTTCTCAAGTGTTGAGATTGTAAACAGTATTAATAATAAAATTCGTAACTTTTCCTACTTCATCAAGGGGATCCTTATATGAAACTGCCTATGTTTTTAAAACCGTGAGTGTGTGGCCTTAGGGATGCAGTGAGGATTAGTGCAGTTTGGAGCACTGCCTTGATTCTGGCCAGCATGCCAGCATTTTTACTTAGCAGTGTGAATGTCAGCACAGTGAGAAAGGTGCATAATGTCTTTGTGTTATTATGGAAGCAATTTTAATTTCACAGACCACTGGTCCCTCCAACAGGTGGCTCCCTACCCTCTAAGAATTTCTGC